GACAAAAGCTACAAATGCCTCTTGAAGTCAACAATATTTCAAGAGGTTTTTATTACTTTTTGTTTTGATAAACTTAAACGTTATTAAACTACGAATATCCTAGATGAATACTAAGACACAGTACCTAATAAAACAGACAGATGATATGATGGTGTTAGTTTGTTAAGCAAAAGGTTGTGTTGTACCGTTGTGGGAGTGAAAATGTATAAATATTTGATTACCGCAAGAGGATAGAGAAGCTGACGGGTTGGAGCGCTAGCAAATCTTTAGGGTGATTCAGGGAATTGATCATGGGTTGTGTCTGGTCAGTTTAATACCGTAGGTTGGAGCTTTATTTTTCGGGAAAACATGGTAACATATGAAAATCAAGAATAAAGTAATTTGAACTGCTGAGTGAAAAAAGTTCGTTGATTTAATATAATCAGTAAGAGTTCTGTTCACCGGTTTTCGTGGAAGAGTTCCGTTTAGAAATCCCTATAACATTCGAGACAACTGTTGAAGAGAAATCGACAATTTCCTCAGCCATCCACCTTTCGTTTGTTTCCATTGTTTTAATTGGTCGTTTTGCTTGTTTTGTTGTACTCGTTTTGGTCGTTTCCGGTTTTTTAGCTTAATAAGCTCGCTTCGGTCGTTTCGTTTTCGGTTCTAGCACATGCCTTGTTGTAGCTATTAATCACTTGATAAATGGCTCCGCGATGGAATCCAAAGCTTAATTGTGTTTAATAAGTTTTTCTATCCTGTAAATTGAATCTTGCCAAATATCGGCAAAGTATTTTCAGTTCCTCATGTAGAGGTACATTCATGGAAGGCAAACTTCAGCCTAGAAAGGAGAAGTTGTATTTTTCTGGAGAAATATCGGAATCACAGTTAGACTTAGGCATTTACTGCTTTGTTAACATTACAACATTATCTGTTGTATGGTCTTCTTAGACTTCAAAGTCAGGATAATTAATTTATGCTGAAATCGACAGACACTCTCATTCACGAAATAAAAAATAGTATCAAGTTAATCATTCGTTTTCGACTTTTCTTTGTAGTTATTGTTTTCTTCATGTTTGTAATATGTATACCAGTGATGAGGAAGATTGTATAAATATAACGACCCCACCCCAGTGATCACCTTCATCGAATTTAACTTTAGCTTTAGCTTTCGCATGTAGGCACGCATGATAATTAGCAACTTTAGGATAAACCTCCTCGGCTGCGTTCTTTACATCATACGAAAGCCAATCAAATAATTTATTACATCAAAACATGCTTACCTTAATATGTAATTAAAGTTCCCGTCTTCAAAACATTCGCCTGATCCTCAGCAGTTTCAAGATTTCAGGGAATGAAGGAAGGTCAGTAGTACTTTTGCCATTCTTGCTATCATATGTTTTTCGTTCGTCTTTGCCTAACGTGTGTAACTTCCTCTGTCAGTCCTCCAGCTTTGCACATCATGCCATACAGCCAAGCAACGGCTCTCTCTTCTCTTTTCCTCTAATTATCAGTACAATAGGTTCCGTCATCAGAAAATCTGTTTAACGGACACGGAACGCCATGGGCGAGTGTAAATTCGATTGCTAGCGTGCGATTGTTAGAAATTTTCTATGTGTAATTTTTACCTTGTCTAAATAAAGTGAGCCAGTGTCTGCAGCCCCCATGTTTACAGGCAGAATTAGAGCATTGCTTATGCGAAATGCCTTACCCCCTGTCCCGTTGATTGTTCTGTTTGCTCGGCTGGCCAGGCGAGCAATGGTTTGATACACGACAATTGCAGGGATCCTGGCATCACAACACCAGGATCCCATCTAAACAGGATGGCTTGGTTGTCATGTAATTATGAAGACGATCTTTTTGCGTTTAAATAAAATTCCAAGGTCTCAGCAAATCAAGCCAGTCCAGAAAATCGGTCCACGTGGGCTCATGTAATCAGGCCCATAAACAATTTTTGAACTACGTAACAGGCCATTCCCGAGTTTGCCCCGAGCCTCTGTTTTAAAGCGCGGCTAAGGGTAAAGATGCCTTTTTTTACTCTCATGCAAGTAAAACTCATTATAACAAGAAAGTTTTTGCACTTAGCCTCGTTTTGAAAGTGAGGCTTTTTGGAACTCGGAAATGGCTTAATATTTTGCGACAAGGATCTTACTACTGCGTAATTATTTCTTTATTAGTCATTGTTCGACATTTATCAGCTGAAAGACGATAATTACTACGAAAATCAATAACGTCAACAGTATGAAATTTTTTAGCCGAAAACGGAAACGCCTTTCTCCCGAAATGTCCCAACGGCAGGGCTGAAAGCGATGATAGTTAGCTGCATTCCCGTGCATCGTTTACTCACAAGGTGCATAATAAAATACAACGTAAAAGGTATTTGCTTTCAAAAAAACATTAACCACATCAATACTGAATATAACATGTATCTCGTACAGAGTATTGTATTAACTACATACTGTTTTCCTTATCACTAATACCAACAGGTTCAGCGAAAAGCAAAAAAAAAAAAAAAATCATGATCTTTTTCCTTCAGTTATACATTTCTTGGAAACAAAACTTGGGCCTTCCTGGAGAGCACTAGAGAGAGACGTAATTGTTAGGTTAGTGCCCAAGACAAAATCAATGTTAACACTTGGCCCAGGGAACTGGGCCGATTTAACTGTTGCAAAGACTTCTGGGACTGTTGCTAGGGACCGGGAAAAAATTGTCCAATAGCTGATCGGCGCGTCCGCAGTAAAGATCCCAGAAACAACTGCGGGACTCATTTCGGTTCCAGTTCCCTTCTCGTTTTAAAGTAGCGAATTGAGACAGATGGAAACGGGCGGATAGGTATTACATTTTGACTTCCGTTAGTTCCAAAAGTGCATCATATTGTTGGCAAAACAAAAACAAAACAAGAACAGACTACCTGATAAGACGACCATAGAATTATCAAAACAATTAAACATAATATCTACCATTGACTTGGTATCTGCTCGTTGACGGTGGCCCTGTCTCCTGCGACGCAAACATGGCCTGACATTTGGTTAAAGGTTTGATGCAGGTGATATTCTGAGAAGAGATACATAACAAGAAAAAATACGTTCCGCTGTGTCATGAGCCATCAGTGCCCTTGGCTCCAGGGACACCTATAATCATACTAGTAATAGTTGACACTATAGCTGCCCCCGCTCTGTATATTGTCGTTCAATAGTATTCTTGCTCGTTGCGTAACTCTTTGAAATATACCGATTCATAATGAAGATTTTCACACATGTTCCGTACGATAGGTGAGATAAATACAGGAAACACAAGGTCCCATGCACAGTTTCAGTTCGATTTACACAGCTTTGATCAGCTTTGATCTCAGTTTCGAGAATAGTTTATTCTAAACCATAAGAAAAGACTTAATTAGAAGTTGAATTTTTCGCTATTTCTCTTTCACTTTTTACATTCAGTTCATTTTATTTGCCGGAAGGTAAGCCTTAGAAATTAAAAGGACGTTTGATCAATTCACCTCGCCCATTAAAGTCTTGTTTTAAACTTTAAAGCGGAAGGACATCTGCAAGCGGGGAATAGGTCAGCACAGAATTTTATTGTTGGCGAATTTCTGTAATCGTCCATCTGCTAGTGATAAGCTAGCCGATGTTCACTCGTCTTGCAATTCTTATTCCGGTCAAAGAGAGAGGAAGAGTGTCTGGCTATGTTTTCAATCAAAGGTTTGTGAACTCGTGTCTGGAAAACTCTCCAAGTGATTATATACACACAGTTATACGCACCTTATAACTTCATCTGCGCTTAACGATTGTCTTTTGGTCCATAACTTTCAAAACAACTGCTCCACAGAATGTCACTGATAACACGTAACGCAAAAGAGTATCCAAGTGTGACCGCACAGTAAAGGTCACAAAATCTACCTAAGCGGTCCCTTCGGGATTTTCTGTCTTAACGTCATCCTAAACATTTCGTACTTGCGGGCGCAAACAATAAAAACGTCATCATTACCTACCGATTCCTCGCGGCCTCTGTTCAAGCAAATCGAGTTTTTTTCTGGCATACTGACTGTATATTTCAGCTGTAAGTACTTTCCTTAATAATTATACGCGCGAGTTACTGGTGTGTCTCCTCGGGATTTCGCCTTCTGGACGAAATCCCTGCGGGGGCAGAGAAAAATACGCAGGAAGAAAATACACTGTTACCGATTTTTTCACACTGTATTTGCCCATGCTTCTGAAACTGATCAAAGCCAGCCAATGGAAATGGTTCATCAGCGGAAGCCAATGACAGAGCGCTAAAACGTTCAGGCATCTGTGAATCGTTCACACCTATAAAATTCATAATAATTTATGAATAATTATTGTTACAGTAAGAAAAATTGATCAAAACGGGTAAAATCTTATTGATGCATAAACAGTAGGTAAAGTCATTGATGTAATGCAGTCAAATAACTGACTCTTACCAACAAGGTGAACTTCTGGTATGCATGTTCCACCAGCTGACGAATCGGCCAACGTAAGGAAGTCCTTGCTGTCGAGGGACACTGCCTCAGACCCCCATTTGTACATCAGGCGGAGGCTTACAACCGTTTGTTCCGTGTTGACAGTGCGTATTTTCAGGTGGGACTTGCTTACTTCTTGTATCGTTTCCACGAGATCTGTACCCAGCTTTTTGTTGAGGTCGTCAAGAGCCTCCAATAGTCTCTGCTTCTTTGTCGAACAAAGACACACTCGAAGAACGTCCAATGCTTGCTCTTCCAGCTTTATTGCAGCTACGTCGACGAAATGGACCATACATCTATTAAAAACTTCCTCACCGGAAGGATTAATGACAATGACTGATTGGAATGCTCCCCTCTTGATAATTTGACCATCGATGTGTACACAAGCAACGACGCAAAGCTGTAGTTCATCTCCAAGATTTTTCTTCAAATGAAAACTCTGAGAAAATGTGTCCAGTGAGCTATCGTATTCAACGCTCTCACTGTGAAGAGTCATGGCAACATTTGTTGAGTTAATGAGTTCAAATTTCACCAGTTTTGACGGATCAAACTTTGCGAAGTTTACGAGACTCAGTGAAACGTTGCAAAAATCTCGTAAGATGACTCCATCGGTTATGTCAACTCGATCGGACACGATGTCTCGTAGGCGTCCAGAAAAGAGTTCTAATCTCTTGTATAACCTCACATCTTGTTTGCAGTATTTGTAAAAGGGCTTTAATACCTCCAGCATGTGGAGAACTGCCAAGTTTTCACCCCACTTCTTTATTTCTATTGATGGCAGGTCACAATTTTTCAGACACAACAGCTCCAAAATTCTGCTTACATCATAAACAAGCTGCCCGACTTTGTTGTTTCTCTTAGCATTTCGAATACTTAAATCAAACTGCTCTATTGTTTCTTTAAGTAGTCCCCTTAAGCCATTTTGTACTTTTGAAACTTCCTCCTCAGCAAATATTTCTTTGGTGATTTGAATGAGGTTAGGAACAACGGCCACAAAAGCTTTGATAGACTCATTTGGTGAAGAGAATATCTCTGGATATCTCTCTTTTATGTCTTCGGGCACAGGTCGATGAATTTCCATATAGTGTACATAGCTGCTGGATGAAGCCGCTCTTTCAACACCTTCCGCAGAAGTTTCCAACTCAATGCAACAGTCCCTTAACAGTGTGTTGCAAAGAGATTGGATCTGACCGGCAAAATACTTCATTAAGTTGGCATCTGTGCGTTGCAAGCCCGAGATCTTAGCTGCATATTCTCTCAAGTGTCTGACATGCATCTGGCCCCGCTGTGTTACGTTGTAAGTTGAACCTAGTAATAGTAAAAAAAAAAAAAGAAATGGAATCACGAAGTCCATTTTCAAAAGGGTACAGCGATGCTTTTATGTGTCACAGTCCTTGCAGTTTGTCTTTTCATTAAAAGCTCGTCCTCCGTAAACGCATCTTTTTAAGAACGCCGCCTTGCTTTACCCGTGCAAATGGAAAACGGAGGTTTTGAAAACGATGACATCACGAACTCAGATAAATGTGTATGCTCCCACCAAAGATGGTACCGTTTTCAGTAACTTTCGCTTTTTCGTGTGGACGGGCAAAAAGGTTTAAAGAACGCACCATGCGGACGCGGACTTTTCAGAAAACAGAAAAAATGAACGTCCGTTTTCAAATAAAAATGGATACGTGTGGAACGCGCCTACCTTTTAATTCATTGTAAGGCAAGAGCATAAAGCAAGTTTCCACACTATCTGAAGTCAGCTTATCTACTCTAAAAAAGTGGTCAAAAGGAGGTTGCAGTGACAATAAATTCGGGCGATAAGCCATGACGATTGGGAAATCTATTGAATTCAAGTGTTGTTGGGTTAACTCTGGGAACCATTCTATAATAGGTTACATCATTATTAAAATCAGGTTTGGTTGTATCATGTTCGCATAAATAGGTGACCGGGATATATGGGCACACTAAGCGCCGGAATTAAGAATTTAAGCCCCCTCAAAATCTTTTGATCAGGAGGTACTCCGAATTTCGAGTGAGAGAGGTCCTTCCCTCAGGGATTAAAACAGCCTACCAGAACCCTCCTTGGACCCGCAGACGAGGAGGTGTTGAGGGGTAGGAGGGAAAGAGAATCTAGCCTTTCCTTAGTCACCCCGCCCACAGAGCCTTGCAAAAGTCTTTTTCTTATACGGATGTTTTACTTCCCAATGACATTACGAAATTAAATGGATCATTTTCAATGAGACCATTTCGTAGGTCATTGGGTAAACATGATGGCGATCGTGAAGGAAACCATACACGTCGCCACCAAACTGCAGCCGCCACACAAAATCCATTTATACAGGATTAAGCGTTAATATATAGATTTAGCCAGGGCTAAAAGCGAAGCTCTCGATAATATTTATAGTTTGTTCAAACAAAATATAAAATCGTGTAATGCTATGCGGCGAAGGCATGCAACGCCGGAAAACAACAATAGGTCTAATTAGCAAAAGCAACTTCGCACGTGCAGCACACTTTTTTGTACATTTCTTTGCCGCTGTTTTGCACGCCTACAACGTGAAACTTCCAGAAACTTCTTAGTTACACGTTTTATGGAGGAAATGTCGTATGTGTTCCCGTTCACTTTTTTTCACTGCCGCTCATTTTCACCTTGCATTAGTGGCCGCTAGCATTTCTCATTTTGTCACCACCGCTACAACATTTTCATGTTGTTCTTCCAACCAAAAAAAATGTCTCCTTCGGTTTTTTATCTCTCGCTCTAAATCCCTGTCGCCTTTTTTCTCGTTGAGGTTCGCTGGTCTGCCGCCCACTTTTTCTCTGTCTTTCTCTTGCTCTATATTCCAAATTTGTGGACATGACAATTTATCTAAGCTTAATACTTTAGACAACCGGATAAAGAAACAATTTCCGCTTTCCGTTTTCGTCTTTATTGATTCTTTTGTTGTGTCTGCTTTACAAGACGCCGGTGGCTATGCGATTTCCCGCCAAAATAACCTCAAGTTGCATTTAGGTTGCCATACCTGTTGATTGAGTTATTTTACACTGGTATGCCTGTGGTGCAGACGGACGGTCTCTCGGGCGGGCGGGCGGTCGGTGTACGGTCACGTGATTTCCAAATTTTCCCGGATGGGTAGATTTTCTTACCCATAGTGCTTCGCTGGCGCGCTTCGCGCGCGAGAGCTCCACTATTATAAAGACTAACCTTGCTTTGTCTTTCTCCAGCACTCGAGGTCTTTACTGAGTGAAGTTAGGTCTTCTGCCATAAAGTTCTCCCTCAACCTTTCTTGCAATATTATGTTCAGTTGTTCGTCATCCCCCGTCCGAGACATCACAACTTGGTTGATCAGCTCCTCTGGTATCTCAAGCACGCGTGCAATCGGCACAGTGTTAAAAATTTCTCCATGAACCTTTAAAAGGTTTCTTACGTAGCCGCAAAGATCTGCGAGAATTTTATTTATGCTCGTTAGACAACAGCAACGGAAACGAGTGATCCGAGTTACCCATATTTATCTATTACATGTACAATAAGAGAGAACAGTGGGACAGAGAGGAATCTTAGGGCGTTAGCCAGGACATGTGAATTTCCCTGAAGTTATTTTTAAAGGTTGAAATTAAACGGAAGTCTAATTCCTGGGACGTTCGCACATTTTAATCGGTTTTTTGAGCAGCAAGTCCAAGTGCAACCGCCTCAAAGCAAACAATGGAGCTATTGTAATGGCAAGACACCAAAAATTCATATCCCGTTATTCTTTCCTGACACCACTGAAGAAAAATTTGTGGATATCTCCAGAAACCAACTTCCGGTCAATTTCAAGGGTTTAATTGGTCTAAAAATAACTTTGGTGAAATTCACATATCAGAGGTGACCCCGCCACATGGTCTTACTTGAGACATTGGCACCCTGCTTGGCGGGCGTTTCATAGGTAAGGAAGAATTGGGGAGGGGCAATTTGGTAGCGCGAGAATGCCCGATTTCTGAACATGCACTGCAGAGGGTAAGGATGCATGGCCCTATATGCTAAAAAACGTTCTTGCGGAGGACGAAGTAACGTAGAAAACAGGGAGAAAAGTAATCCCGTTTAACCCACCAACTTCGCAGAATTTCCTCACACTAATGTGGCCAAACGCTCCTTTAACAGTGATTGTACCACAAGCAATCCTAACGTCTTTCATACTTCTTTCCAGTGAAATTGGAACGACGTAGCCCATGCTCCACCAAACATACGAATCCACCTGGAAATCGCTGGTAATTTCATGCTGTCTGCCAGCCAGATTGTAGTCCTCTCCTAGGTAGATTGATATATGAAGACGTTCATTGTTAAAGATGCCAGTTTCTTCGTGATCATTCATAGGACGTACATGTAGTTTTCTAAATCCTTTATTTTTCAGTTCTATCATAGCGGAAACCTCTTGCTTCTCATAGAACTGTTCATGGTAGACATCTTGGCTCACGAACAACAAGGCAAGCTCGTCGCTTTTTGGAGACACGGAGTTGTCGTTAAGCCACACTGATAAGGTGTAGTGAAATGACATTAAGTTAAACCTAGTCAGCAAGCGAACCTGAGTGAATCTTACCACAGTTAACAAAATAGCAATGATTGAGAAATGTTCCATTTTAATGTGCACTTCAGCATTTGACTTATCAAGCGTCGTGGCCACCGAGTAAGGAGTGACATCTTCCCAGGTGATCATTCTACTACGTTCCTCCCTTCCATTCAAAATAACAATATCACTGCAAGTAAAATTGCCTATTTCAAATTTCACGGTCAGTGTGACAGGTTTCTTGAACGAGAGACCGTCCGGTTCAAGGCGAATGACGGGTGCACCAATTATGACGTCATTTTCAAGACTGTTTTGAACAATAAGGCCATAGTATCTGGAAGGATCCTCTAACGAAATGCTTACAGACACAGGATTTTCTACTGCTCCAGGAGGGAAAACCAGTTTGATATTCTTCTCAGTGACAACACCGCCTGTACTAGAAATTACGTTGATCATTCGCTGCGTCGGACTTGTGTGTATGCATGTGTCCGTCCTTTGCAAACTTTGCCCGGTAGTCACTAGAGAGGAGACGATTTCTGTGTTTAAAGATAGACAACAGGCCGAGGTTAGCTCCAAAGAAACTTCATGTATGGTGTTGCGATTAATTTGACAAAGTTAGTTGACAAAGAGAGAAGTCTACGGTAGCCAATTTATTTTGAAGCATTACGCAGTAGTACAAGTAAACCTGTCCTTACAAGGTGACAATAAGTTATTAACAAAAAGCTGATAAAAGCCTGCAGAAAGCAAACCAGGGGTTCAAACCCCGGGTATAGTCCAGTCAATCTAGGAATTTTCGAGGCTAAACATCAAACTACAGCAGAAATTGTATATAACGGCCACCCTAGGGACTTGAGGAACTGGGGTCCGTTTCTCGAAAGCGGTAAGCTGTCTCCGTTTACGTTAAAGATTGAGGTTTCAATAGTTTTGCATCTAGCATGATAAAACTATCAGTTAATGAAACAAAATGGAGTAGTTTGCTAGCCAGGACCCCCACCCTTATTCTTTATTTTTTGGATTTGAATATTTGATTTCGGGCCCGTAAAGTTACCGGGACTTTCGAGAAACGGGCCCCTGGCCACTTAATACAAGTGGCCGCTTAATACAGGATCACTAAAAATACTCACTGGGCGTAGTCTAATGTCAATTTTATAGGCGTATCATACAAAAACACTTCATGCAAAGAAGCAATTGGTCAAAGCGATCAATACCTTAAACAAAGCTCAGTGCCAACTTGTAACTTATTTTTACTTGAGCTCGGATTCCTTTGTTCTTCTCGGGGGAATGTACTACATAACCCCCGGAATCAATTGTCTGAAAAGCTGGGTGCTGTTTTGATTGTTTGAAGGGAAGAGCGGGGCTAATGAACAGGTTATTAAAATAGAGAGGATTATGTATTAATATGCCAGGGGAATAAGTCACTTACCCCCCTGCTTATTAATACATAATCCCCTCGCCTTTTAATTAGTTTTGTCAAGAACAAATTTACAGATGTTTATTGGAAATATTAAACACGACGCTACAATTACTAAAATTAAATTGAGCTGCGATTCTTTTGCACCACATTCCGTGGATTTTCTTAGTTGGTGGTTCCAGTCACCGATTTCCACCGTCAGAAAGAAATTGAACAGCGTCTTTAAAATTCCACGTTTTGGAACCACCACTAAAGTTTCGCTGTCATGGTAAGGCGTTCCGTTCTTTAACCCAGTTCATCCCAAGCTCGTGTACTCCATGTAGTTGACCTCTTTGTGTTTTGAGGTATTCTTGCTTCATTCCTCGACTGGATTACTTTGTCACAGCAGTGACCCCTCTCCTGGAATCTTCTTTATCCTTAAACAGGTCGGTCGAAAAATCCTCGGTGCAAAAATTGAAATTGTCAACTACTTGATTGTTGTATGCACCCGCAAATGAAGATTCAAAATTATTTTCCGAAAGCTCAATTGCTGTACCGCCGGTGGGGCTGCTTTAGTTTGAGTAATAGACGGTTCTACTTCTGACTCTAAATCGTTCGACACTGCTAGGCTCTGTAGACTGTTTCTAGCATTCACTACGAATAACTACTCAGAAATGCAACTTTGAAAAACTAAAAATTAAATAGCCAAGAAACTTGTGATTGCCACCAGTGCCAGCATGGAGTGTTGAAAAACAGAAGAAAGAACAATAGACTCATTTTTCTTCAAAGTATTATTGTATCCCTTCAGGAATCCTCGCCAATTTTAAAAAAGCCGTTTATCGAGGCAACGCACGAGGGGAATAAATCACATAACCACGAGCTGAAGGCCGATAACCCTTACATATGGCTTAGTTTCCGTTTAAGGGTGGCCGCTTAATACAGTCAAAAATAATAGCGGGGCTCCCACGCGCGCAAAACTCCATACTCATAGAATATGGTCAACCTCTTTTCGTTTGGTTGTCAGGTGATTGACTGAGCGTACGTACGTACGCGTCTACAGATTGTACGGGTGGGGTAGGGGAGACTATCAAAAGGAAGGGAAGGGTGTCTGAGGCGTGTCTTGGCAAATCCACATCTTTTATATTGGACATTCACAATATGGTCAATTGACAGCTGCCAAAACAGGATAGGCACTGACCAGTATCACATGACGATATCCCGAGCTCATGTGTCAACTCATCGAGGTGACGTGATTTATTTTGAGGCTGGAAGAAAAATGTTGTCTCTGTATATGTTTCATCGAATTATATTTCTTTTATTGATTGTTGGTAGTCTCTCTTGTAATTTTAATCGTTGTGCCGTTTGTTTTCAGTCGTTCAGTGAACATCGCTTGCAGGAGTAGTCAAAATGACGCGCGTATCAAACGCTTTTATTAAAAGATTACACATCGATAAAACCATAATTAAATAGAAAATAAACATAATAAATTCTTTATTATGTTGGAGCTTAACTCTAGTATGTTCGTTCAAACACTGCCATTAGAAATTTTTTTAAAGGTTTAAGCCCACGCGTGCTTCGATCGCCCTGACTATTGAATGAGTGCAATTTGTATTGCAAAATTGTGAAATACTGCATTCTGTCCGAGGTCTGTATTATAAAAACAGTACCTCATAGTACTGTTTCACTTAAGATGTGATGTATAAATGGTATAAAAGGTTGGTTTACACGCACCCAGGTTTGTTGGCAAGATTTTGTCGAACGCAAAAAAATCGGCCCAATTTTTTCCAGGTCTAATTAATCTACGGTGATCAAGAGCCATTATGGCTCTTAAACTAGTGCCATCGAAAAAGATTGCTATTTTCTGGGTGTACATATGAGGCTATCAACTCGATGTAAGAATTTGGTCACTATTGGGCTGTTTGCAAACTATTCTTCACTAAAAGCCTTTCCCTCAAAAGTCACATGAATGTGCTATGTGCTGTAAACTTAACTGAATTGTGGAATACAAGTTTATTGTTTGATTTAAATTATAAATATATTAATGGGAGCCTCGCTTTTAGCCCTGGCTGAATCTATATGTTAAAGAAAGACAAACATAGGACTGCTACAGGGTGGCCGCGGCCGGTTACTACAGGTGGCCGCCTAATACAGGTAACAAACACGGCGTTTGTATGAGCGAAAAATCGGGACTTTGAAAACTGGCCGCTTTATAGAGGGTGGCTGCTTAACACAGGGCCGTTATATACAGGTTCGACTGTAATTGCCACAGAATTGTTTTTAACGCCATCTAATTAAGGATGGCCAATCTAGCAACATACTAAAAATCCGCCAAAAGCCGTTCGGTGGAACATGTCAAAATTAAGCGTTAAAATTTTGAGCTTTAAACACAGGGTTCCCACGCTAGTTGACATTATACGTTTAAACAAAAAATGCACAAACTGTGTTTCTTACTTTAATGGAAACGGGAGAGAAGAAAGAATAACTGCTTCCCAGTTTTCGGTGATAAAAATGAAGTGTTTCTTTTTGTTACCTTCGCAAAAAAATTATGAAGGTTAACGGAACATTCATGGCATAACTAACCTTGGCTCCAGTAAACTGTTGTTTCAAAAAAACGAAATAGTAATAGTAATAAGGAAACAGGCTTTGAAGGGAAAGATTAATTCTGGGTAGCCAAAACAATGTGAATGTAAAAATATCTTGTAGGGGTCTATGGAGTAATGACGCAGAGCATAATTCGCGCACCCCAGTCAGAAGGTTTACATGCAGTGAAGTGTTACGCAACGCTCATCCGAAAAGAAACATAGGTTCCGCAAATAGAGGTGAGCCATCAGAAACTAAGTCAGGCAAGCCCATTATGTCGTACATATGTCCAGTACTTTCGCGCCTTCATTGACCACTGCAATTATTTTCAGACGTATAGCATCCCATTATCGTTGTAGAAAGAGAGGCCTTCATTTGCCAATGGACGAAAGAAGTGGTCAAAGTTTAGGGTTGTTCTCACAAAAGAAATGCAAGAAGGGAATATAAACGCCTTTAGAAGACAGAGCGATTAATCGACTTATTCATCTTACCAAGAAATGAAGGGCTGCCGCAGAAAATACAAACTGAACACAAAGATACACTAAACTAAATCTGAGACTCGCTACAAGAAGAAGATAAAAAATAACAATCACACTGGGTTTGGTTTTCTGGATTTCCCTTATAACAGATTCGGCCAGTTGTAATGAAAAGCACAGAGAGTTACGATCTAGCAAAAACCAAATAGACGGAGTCAAGAGCAGAATATTTATTCACTCACATTGCAAAGTTCGGAGTCAGAATCCTAAAGGAGGTTGTGTATGTCCCGAGAAAGAAAAATCTCTGTTTTCGATCACACATATTGTGTCCAAGGTTTGAACATAACTACTTCACAAAACTCGATTACACGGAAAACGGGAGTATCTTAAGCAGTTTCTACTGATAGAAAGCTATTGTTCGTTGTACACATTTAGTCGCACGTATCCTGCAGCATGGATGCAAATTTAGTAGCTGAGTGATGGGGAACAGTTTGATTTGATATTTTATTGTTCACCATCAGTCAGCTACTAAATCTGCATCCATGCTGCATAGATATAAAAAATTACCAGCCTGTAAGCTGCTAAAATACTTACTGCATTTCTGATATTGTGCAAAATATCAGTTATTAATATTTTTCACCCTGTTAACACAGACTGACTAATAACTTCGCTTTTAAATACGGTCATAGAAAAAAAATTAAAGCTTGGAATGTTAAAACAGACGAGTGGCTGGGTAACCTGTGCAAAGCCGTCAAGACGAAACACTGACCCTTTTGTTTCTCACACATTTCAAATGTTTTGTCTGAATTTGTGATCTTCCTGAAATTGGGTGTCCTGTGGTGAAAGTCGAAAATCTTTATTGCCAATTTTTCTCATGTTTCACCTAACCGATTTTGGCGGATTTTTAGTACGTGGTTAAATAGCCATCCAACAATTAAATGGCTTTGAAAAAAATTCTGTTGCAATTAGTTTGACGCTAAACGAACGGAACGAACGGTTCACAGGATTAGTTTAGAAAAGATAGCCCTAACCCAAACAAAACTAACAATGAACCCCAACTCTGAAACAAATTAGGTCATAAATGTCTCGAA